TCACCCCAGGCTGCAGCCTGGGATCCCCCAGGGACCCCCCCGGAGCCGCTGCTTCCCCCATGGACTTGCCCGGGGACTCCAGGTGAGAGCGCACCCCGCCCGCCTGTCTTGAGCCTGGGAGACGGGGATTCTGACGGCCGCACTGGGATACTCCAGAGCCAACAACAGGTTCAGACGACCGTCCTCTGCTTCTTTCACCCTCCAGCCCACCTGGCCAGCCGCGTCTATGCCGCCAGCCTCTGACTCGAGCCTTATGGAGAGCCAGGAGCCCAAAACGACCGAGGTTGCAGCCCCAGGGGGTCCCTTCTCCCCTGGAAAAGGCCTCTCGGCGGGTCCTGACCGTGGTGCTGGAAGATGTCATGGCTGCCCACATGGTGAGCCCACTCAACTGAGAGACCCTGTTTTCTCCCATGCCTTTTCCTCAATACCAAAGTCGGACCAGATCCCTACTGAGGATAACTAGGGTCCAAATATCTCATTGTCACGCCCATTCCTCAGGCAATCTTCCTCCTGCTAGAGTCCTGCTTGGCTCCCACTTACTCCAACCTAGATTTGGGCAGGGACTCCCGTACCCATCCCGTCACCCCCCCCCCCAACCCTGTTGGCCTAGAACCATGTCCTACACCTATTAAGTATGATAATCTCTTCTGCTTTCTTTGTTTTTTATTGTTTCTTTTTTCTTTTTCTTTTTCTTTTTTTTTTTGTACAGACGGGGTCTCGCTATGTTGCCCAGGCTTGTCTTGAACTCCTGGCCTCAAGCGATCCTCCCGGCTCAGCCTCCCAAAGTGTTGGGATTACAGGCGTGAGGCACAGCTCCGGGCCGAAACTCTTCTGCTTGCTTCCTAGCCCAGGATCCTGGGACTTTGGCTCCACCGCACAGATAAGAAAAACTGAGGCCCAAAATAAACAATGACCCACCCGAGGTCACCCTGTGTTTTTCATTTCTCCAAATAGCACGGGTGAGAAGATTACCCAGTTCCCACACCTGCAGCACAGGACTTTCCAATATTTGGCCCCTAATTCAATCCAACTCATCTCTTATTTGGGAATTTGAGTGGATTCTAGCCACAATCTGTCACCTTGTGGCTAAGGGCACTGTTAGATACAGGGAGACCCTGTCCAGTCCAACCTCATTCCAACACCTTGTTCTTGACACCTCTTCCTCTCCCAGGTCCCCCTTGTGCCCCAAGAGGAGACCACCATCCCACGGTGCCACAGCTACCGTCAGGATTCCGTCCACAGCCAGCTGCCTGCTTTGCCACCCAGGCAGGCCACGTGGTCCTCGAAGGCCAGGTGAGCATGGCAGGATGGGGGTAAGCTAGGGACACAGCTGAGCCCCTCTGATTTTCCTGTTTTCCCTATAGGCCTCCTGACCCACTGCATTTGTGCAGAGAGCCCTTGAGCCGAATTCACAGGCCCTCTTGCACACTGAGGAGGCGATCTAGGACAACCCGTGGCCCAGAGGAGGATCCTTCACGAAAGGTGGACTGGGCCACCCAGCCCACCCTGGTAGTGATGCTGGAAGACATTGCCAGTCCCAGACCCTCAGCTGAGGTATGGGAACTTAAGATAAGAATGTCGGGTTCAGTCAGACACGGTGGCTCATGCCTATAATCCCAGCACTTTGGGAGGTAGAGGTGAGAGGATTGCCTGAGCCCAGGGGTTCAAGACCAGCCTGGACATTGTGATGAGATCTCGTCTCTACAATAAATCAAAAAATTAGCTGGGCGTGATAGCATGCACCTATAGTTCCGGCTACCTGGAAGGCTGAGGCAGAAGGATTGCCTGAGCCCAGCAGCAGGTCGAAGCTGTGGTGGCTGGGAGCGTGCCACTGCACTCCAGCCTGGGCGACAAAGTGAGACTCCAACTCAAAAAAAAAAAAAATGTCGGGCTGATCTGGGGCCAGGTACTCCAGCAGGGAAAGAAAACAGGGAAAGGACCCTTGAATCTCAGGTGGGTTTTTCTCAGGGCAAGGAGGACACCATTTAAGGTGGCAGACACTGCATGAACAAGGATCTTAGGAAAAAGTCTTTGATGTGAACCCAAGCAGGTGTCTGGGGACTGAGAGTCAAGACGTGGGGAGCTAAGGTGGGGAAAGGGGTTTTCCCTGCCTTCCCACAAACATCCCCTGTTTATATCCAGGGCTTCATCGATGAGACTCCCAACTTCATCATCCCAGCACAAAGGTGAGAGGGCTAGCGAAGGGATTATCAAAGCATCCAGGCAACAGCCATCATCCAATTAGCCAGAGCTAGGGGCATCAGGATTGACTTATCCAATCCTTCCTGGTAGCACCTTCAGAAGGGATGGGGGTGGGGCTAGCTCAGGTGGAGTCTGGACCTGGAAGCCCTCTCAGACCTTACCTTGCCCCTTCACTCCAGAACTGAGCCTGTGACAATGGTTCACCAGCCAATGCCTCCATCCGGGGACCTAGAACCCCCATGCCAGCCACCCACCCTGCCTACAGACCGTCCGGAGAGCCCACCACCAGGTAAGGACTCAGTAAGAGGGATGAGACTTGGGGTCTGGCAAATGCTAGTTGAGCTTGGAAGTGTCGAGTGCAGAAGTGGGGGTGAGGCGTAACCCCTCCTAGGGCAGATCTTGCTGTACGAAGATGGGGGGTAGAGTTCAGAAGCTTGAGGTTTAACTTCTGAATGCAGAGCTTGGGTTTTTAGGGGTGGGCTTACTTCTCTGTGGGCAAAGTTTAGTGTTTGGGAGACGGGCTGAAGCTACTGAGATGGGGCTTAGACACCTGCAGCGGAGGAATGCCCACCTGTGACCCTCTCCTTTCCTCAGCCCCAGATCCTGCTCTGGAGCTCCCATCCACCCCACCACCGTCCAGCCTTTTACGCCCCCGCCTCAGTCCCTGGGGCTTGGCTCCCCTCTTCCGTTCCGTCCGCTCCAAGTTGGAGAGCTTTGCTGACATCTTTCTCACACCCAACAAAGCCCCACGGCCCCCGCCCCCCTCACCCCCCATGAAGCTGGAGTTGAAGATCGCCATCTCAGAGGCCGAGCAGTCTGGGGCTGCTGAGGGCACTGCATCTGTCAGCCCCCGGCCCCCTATCCGCCAGTGGCGGGCTCAGGACCACAATGCCCCAGCACCTGTCCCTAAGCCTTCTCTGGGCCGAAGTCACTCCTGCCCTGACCTGGGGCCCCCTGGCCCAGGTACCTGCACTTGGCCATCTGCTCCACCCCAACCAAGCCGGCCACGGCCACGGCGGCACACTGTGGGTGGTGGGGAAATGGCCCGAGCCCCACCACCCTCTCGGCCCTGTCTCCGGAAAGAGGTCTTCCCTCTCGGAGGAGTGGGAGCCTCCCCTTCTCTCGCCACATCTTGCTCGTCCACGGCATCCACTTCCTCCTTCTCCGAACCAGCAGAACCCAGGTAGTGCTCTCAATAAACCCTCCTTGATAACCTGGCCACAGCCTGGGTGCAGCCTCCTTCCCTAAGTATCCAGTGGGCAGAAGATGGGGATATTGCTGTGAGTCTTGTTTGTCCCTGAGCCTTGACCTTCTTGGCAGGTTGGGTTCAACCAAGGGGAAGGAGCCACGAGTCTCCAAGGACCAGGTGCTTTCAGGCCCTGAGACCAAGGTAGGTGCACAGATGAGGGGGAGGAGACAAGTGTGGGCCTGAGCCCATGTTACTCTTTTTTTTTTTTTTTTTTTAATTGGAGTCTCATTCTGTCACCCAAGCTGATGTGCAGTGGCAGGTTCACAGCTACCACAGCCTCAATTAGCTGGGCTCAGGTGATCCTTCCGCCTCAGCCTTCCTAGTAGCTGGATCTACACAGGCATGTGCCATTATACCCAGCTAATTTTTTTATTTATTGTAGAGATGAGGTCTCGCCATGTTGCCCAGGATGGTCTGGAACCCATGGGCTCAGGGCAGTCCTCTCGCCTCTGCCTCCATGTCACTCTTTCACCCTCTGCCCCATTTTTACAGACCATGGGAAAGGTTTCCCGATTCAGAATACGCAGGACACCAGCTCGTGCTCGGCTAAACCTTACACCAATGGGGCTGCCTCGACCAGTCAGGTGAGAGGCTCATTGGGTGCTGAGCTATCTTAGCTGGACAGGTAGGTGTAGGCTCATGTCCTCTGAAGTGTGGCTTTGTCTCCTCTCAGGGAGCACAGTCCAGCCTGGAGGATTCAATTTGGTATGGACATGGTTTGTCTTTAGAACTGCCTGTCTGCCTTAGGCAGCACTCCTCACCCTGACATATCCCAGAAACTGAAATACAGACCAGGCCTTCCCTGTCCCTTCTTCAGGCCCCACTGGCCAAGGTTTCTCAGTGACCCTCTGCTCTTTGTTTCCAGGTTGAACAAGAAGGAGTTCAGCTTGGAAGAAATTTACACCAACAAGAATTACCAATCACCCACAACCAGGAGGTGAGAAAGTGGGAAGGTTTTAGGGTGGTAGAGGGAAGGCAGGAACCAGGGGCCATCCTGGTAACCACCTTCTTTCCCTGCCTCATTCAGAGCCTTTGAGACTATTTTCGAGGAACCTCGGGAGCACAATGGAACTTTGGTTTTCACCAGCTCAAGGAAGCTCCGGCGGGCTGTAGAATTTCGGGACAGCAGCCTTCCTCGATCCCGGAGGCCATCCCGTGGGGCCCGGGCTGCAGCTGGCAGGATCGTTACTCCCAACCTGGCCCCCAGCCCAGATGTGGGACACCTGCTGCAGCGGCGACTGGAAGAGCTAGATGCCTTACTCCTGGAGGAGGAAAACGACGATGGGGAGCAGCCCCATCGGACCTAGGCACTCCATCTATTTGTCCATCTATGCTGAAGGGAGGGGAAACTGTTGAGGCTGTTTTCTTTTCTTCTATTTTTTTTTTAATTTCCCACCTCGCGCCTCCCCTCTATATTTCTAGTAAAGTTTTCGATATGTTTCTGATTCTTTTGCATCTCCAGCTGAGTTTGATGGCTGATGTTTCTATGCTGGCCCCCTAAGGACTGGGAAATGAGGGTGGTGTGAGGAAGGTAAAGGGGGTTGGGTACAGGGAGTTGATGAAATGGTCATTAGAGATGCTCCCTTGATTAAAGAATTCTCTTGCACGGAGGAATACTTCTGAATCAGCTCCAGATTATACTATGACCTGGACCCTGCTCAGGGTTCTCCCAACTTACTTATATTGAGACTGAAAGCCCTATAGTGGACCAAAGCCTTGATGAAGATAGCCCTGAATTCCTTGTAACACGCAGGCCAGGATCTGATGCTGGACTCCAGAGCCTAAGAGTAAGCAGCCATAATTGAGTACCTACGACAACCTGTCACAGGTACTTGACCAGCACATATCCCTGTAAAAAAGGAAGTATAGCCATTATACAGATGAGGAGGCAAGGAGAGCATGTCAGTGTACTGTAACCCGGGCAACCAGAGGCCAGAAATGGCACTCTCCATCTCAGTCAAAGGCCCATCTTTCATAACTTGGAAGCAATAAGAGCAGTGGCTAGAAGTCTCGGAGCTAGGATCCCTGTGAGTCCAGCTCCTGGCTGGGAAACTACTAACCTGTTTGTGCATCAGTCCCCCTCCCTCACTGTAAAGCGGGGCTAACAGCGGTATTACCAAATGAGTTAACAAGTGAAAGGGCGCTCGGAGACCGCAGGCCAGCACCCTCGCACTGAACCGAGCGGTAACGTGACGTTTCCTTCCCGTGCGCCCGCGCTCGCAAAGCACGCGGCGTGCTCGGCCCACCCCGCGCCGCGGGGCCACCCGCGAGCTGCCAGCCGGGCGGTGGCATGCCACGCGCG